TTTAATCCATACGTAAAAACATTTCAATTAGTCAACACTAGTGGACTCTACCCGAACATTAACACCGAGCGAAATCTGACAGATCAATCTAATTCACTCTACACACAAAAGTGCAAATCGCGCCTAAAAAAGTTTTAACTTAAAAAAAATATGCTGTGCAAGAGCCTTTTCATCCTCAAATAATAAAAAATAAAATAAAACAGTTAAACGGGAAAAACCTAAACGGTATGAAATTATTGGTAGAAATTTGGGATAAAAACAGATGTGCATGAGCTCTTTGATAACAACTGATTAACAATACCCTTTATGGTGACAGAATGAAAAACTACTTGATAAAAGTGTTTCAAATATAATATATATATATTTTTTATTTTATATATATATATATATATATATATATATATATATATATATAAAATAAAATTCGACAACTGTTTAAGATATAAAGATGCAGTTTGCAGCGTAAAACTAAATTTCTGATAGAATGTTTCAATCTTAATTACTAGAATTTTCTCCTCGGACAATCTACATATTTTCTGATTTTTCGGGGACACAAAACGTTGCTACGGTATCATATTTTAGTACATCAGTGGTATTATTTTTTTTTAAGGCTCAAGATCTCATTATTTTATTTTAATAATTTGTCAAGATATACTCTTTACAAAATGTAATTCTTTGATTGAATATTCATGAAATCCTTATTAATTTTATAATTCATGTATGACGAAATAGAATATTGCTTTAAAATATACTTAAACGTTCTGTAAATTTCGAAGGAAATCATGTTTTATGACGGCGTTTTCATTCATTATAAAACATAATGCTGTAGTTGCTCGGCGAAAGAAGGGAATTTATTTGATGCCAGGAGCATTGGACGGAAAGCAATTACAGGACGATATGGAGCGAGTTCATGGAAATAACCTCCAAGACCGAATGACGGTCTTGAATTTTAAAAGCTTCATAAACTCCGAAAATTGAAAAAGAAATTGAAAACTATAAGTCTTTATACAAAATTCTAACTGTAGGCAATCTTTAATAAATTAATTGTCTACCGATGACTGCTCAGTTAATTATTATTTCACAATTAGATATGTATGATATTCAATATTTTAAATCCTAGAATTTTTTTTTAGCACTGATTTATTACTGTTCATTGCGTATTTTAAATTACGCAAGATTATTGATAATATATTTCGGAGTACAATAGATTCAAATTTTATACACGAAGGCATATTTATAGAATAATAGTCCAACGGGCATCATATTTGTTTGTAGTTTTTTTTTTATGTTTTTTCATTGCTGGATATTGTTAAAATAAAAAAAAAAAGAATAATTCTAACATATAAAAAATTATTGCGAATATGGTTCTATAAAATAAATAATACATTAAGAAATGTTTGCAAGATATAAAATTTCTATGAAAGAAATATAAACGCTAAAATGCCTCTGTATAAAATAAGAGGCGGGCTTTCAGCCAATGAATAGTTATTAGATACCTCAAATTCATAATACAAAATGCGAAAAAAAAACTTTCATGGCTTAATTCTTCAAGTAAACAAAATTATTAATTATTTTTGTAAAAGATGTAATATCAATAAATACCTTCCTTTTTTTCAAAGAAATATGGTTTATTCTTAATTATTTAATTCTTATATCTCTATTATATAAAAAATATTTTAGTGACCGTGCCATTTTACGTATACAAAGTGACGGAGACACCATATTTTTTAATTCCAGAATTTTTCTCCCTTAATATGGTTACAAATTGGCAATAAGAATAATTATAATAATAGAAATTGGCAATAAGGCGCGATGTATAAGATAGAGTTTAAAAGAAATTAAAAATTTGTCCGAATTCCGACATCGTTCCGTTTATTTTATTACAGTAAAAATATAATACAATCTGAACTACAGAATACGTATAAATTACAGTTATACAATTTGAGCAACAAGTAGTACAATAAATGAAAACTTGTATAATTTGTAATGTTGGGGGATGGTCCGCCATTAGGTGGACAGAGGGTTCCTCTCTAGTATATTTTAAAAATAATTATTTTATAAAAAATCGTTTAACTGCAATACTATATGAATGACCATGGTTTCAAGATTATAGGTTATTATTGCACCAGATTTTAATAAATTAATTATTTTGAATGAATTTTCTATCTTTTATCAATTATTGACGACCGGGCTGACAAGGACAGGGAAAAAGATTAGTGGAGTAGGAACGACTGTTCATTTACGGCAAAGATGTTGTTATATAATTTAAATCATTTTATATTTCATCTACCATAATTTAACTGTTATGCCATAAGTAAACACGAATGTAAGTTCTTTGGATCATGTTCGAATTTCAAATCTATCGAAATATCAAATAGTTCAAATCTTCAATTGAACTATGGCAGTGCTGGTCTGGGTTCATGTTATATGTTGCTTGCGAGAACATGGTTATCCTGCAGAGGGTCAGCCATTCTCGCGTTGCTGCAGACCAGTCAATGTCTGCAAGTTACAGCGGCAGACCACCCATGGCTCCATAGCCGACTCCCAAGAGGCCAATATTACAATGTTCTTCCTAACGGTTCAATCGGATTAAAAATCGACAAATCAGTCGAAATTTGTAAATGGTAGCGCTTCATCAAGGTCTGAAGGTGCAAGAGGAAGTATATCTTTTTCCCCGAAAGAGACCATTCATTGATGCAAAATATCGGAGAATCTGGATGGTTACTGATGAACAGAAAAACTTGAAGCCTCGGTAGCCGAGCGTGTTGATGCGTTGCTTGCTTTAAAACTTTCGAGCCTAGCTGGTTGAACTTTATTTCGAGGTGGACCCACGAAATGAATCTCGCCTTTCTCATTCTGGTTAGAATATGTCTGCCTGTATCTCTGCAATAATCCTCTTTCCATATGCAAAAAAGGGCAGGGTAAGCGGTAAGCGAAAAAATTACGAAATACTCCCTAATACTCAAGAAATAATACTACGCTGGTTTTGCCCTTGTTAAAAGAATTTCTCGAGAAAGATTTCCAAAAGTAAGTATTCAAATGGAAATAAAAGCAAAAGGTAAGGAAATGAACATCAAAAGTAAAATGGGACATGGCATCAGAGAAGAGCAAGCCTTGGCTCCAGAGCAATGGAAACATATTACAAAATACATTTAGGTCATGGAGTAACGGAGATTCCTTAATAAAAAATAAACAAACAAAGGTAGCATTGATAAAACACATAAGACCTAGAGATGAAATTATATAAATTTTCATCAGCACGTTAATTTAATCTTCAAAATCAACAATTCTCATGAAGATACTTCTTTTGGAATCATGGGTGATAAATATTCTGGAAGAAGTCATTATAAAGTTTTTATTGGTATCGACGTTTCAACCCAAACATGTGGGCCATCATCAGGTCGTGTTTTGAGCAATGAAGGTATTCAAGTATTTCATTTGAAATTGCTCTATCCTCCTATAAATGATAAATGTACTATATGACTTTTTTTTCTTACCCAATTACAATATTAGTAAATTTAAATAATAAACATTTAATTAGAGTCTTTTTTTTGTTCTTCCCAGGTCGTTTTTTAAGTTATACTCATATATATTTAAGGATATATTTAAAATTCCCTTCGGTACCGGGACGCGAACTCATACTTTTTGATCTATCTGGTTGCCAGACAACTCGCGGTGCTGTGCACACACGCTAGGCCGTTCGGCCACCCGGGGCACCGTTCCACCCCATTTAATTAGTGCTATTTCATATTGGCTATTTAGTTTCCAGAACCGGTAAGTCTTAGCTAGATTCATAATTTATGCATGTTAGGCATGAATAATGACCCCTTCCTCGCATCACAAACTCTACAGTTACATAGAAGAAAAACACATATATTTGTACTTCTTAATTAATAATGTTGAGCATATTCTATGTCTCACAACAAGTCAGTGAGGATAATATAATTAAAATGTATAACAAATTTTATTTAACATTTAATTACAAAATTATTTAGCTATTAAATAAGGAATTATGTATCATCTAGTTAAAAAACGCTGTTATTCAAATTTACATTTTAAATAACATTAATCTGCGTTTCAAGAATAAACTATATATTTACACAAAATATAAAATATATTACTTTTTTTTACTAGGCAAATTAAAACAATGCATTAACATTTTCAAAAAATAATACTGAAGAATTTTCTATAATAATTTTTTTTATAGACTATCATTCCAAATTTATTAGTAAAAATTAAAATATGGATTTTCAATATTAATACCTTAAATTATTAGAAATTAAATAATCTGTAAATGACGATAACACTTTAGTCATTTTGTTCATAAATTGAATAACTCATTTTAAAAAGTGTATATACAAATAAAGGTGCTAACAAAAGTCACGTTAATCAGTAAGTATCATGTAAAAATATTTCTTTACACGTTTACGGATGACATCTAAACATTTTAAAGAATAAACTTACAAATATTTAACTAAGATATAAATGTAATAAATAAATATAATTTTATCATCGAACAATGGTAAATATATTTCATTAATAATTTTAAATAAATTAAATGCCACGTCTGTTTCATTTATTATCGATGGCTGTGCATTTCTAGGTTATGTTTCAATCATGGATAATACATTGATTAATTTATCCTATTAGTAGAGTTGTACTATGATATTAAATTTAACTGTACTTATCTTTGGCAAAAAAAAATAATAAAAATAAAAATTCTATCACTACGAATATCACAAAATCTTTTATTTGACAACAAACTTCACTTACTATTTAATTTATAAAACAGCATACAAATCCACAATGCAAAGTGTCGATTGCTTCTGGTCGAATTGTATGTAGGTCATATGAATTTAGCTAATTTACTATTACTAATTTTATTCAGATTTCCATTTAATAAAAAATAATGGAAAATACTATTTTTATTATTACTGAAATTATAACAATGTATTTTTATTTTTTTAAATATGTTGTTTGTAACTCTAATCAGGATAATCATATATATGTATATATATATGAGTGAGGATGAGCATAATACAGTAGTTTCCTAGATCGAATTCTTAGTCTTCATATCAATACAAAAATCAATAATATTCAAAACAAAACAAAAAATAAAAATCTGACACTTTGTAGTAAAAATACAGCTTATAGTACAATGTTTGTTGTAACATTGCATGTACAACGGTTTTTGTTTATTATCAAGAATGGAACAATGTGGTTCCACTGAGAACAAGAATATTATTTCATCTATTTCATATTACATTGCACTAACTTATCTATTATTATGTTGCACTTTGTTCACCAATATACTATGCGAATTATTCGTAAGGGTCATCTAGTATTTTATAGATACAATTTGTAAAAAATATAAAATTAGAAAACATAATATTGTGAAAAACATTAAACATACGAAAAACGGGGGTATAAAATGTTCAAATAGGGGTGGTTGTGAATATTTCTTCTTCCCTCTGAAGAAATTTAAATAACGATACTTCATCACTAATCACGATACTTCATAAACAGAAAAGAAAGAACAACTTAAAGCAGTGAATAATTATTTTATTACAGTTGTTCACTATTTTAAGATTTTTTTATGACTGCCAATATTATACTACGTTCAACCATTTATTACTCAATAAAATACAAAAAACAATAAAATATCAATACAAATCTAACTTGTTACACAAACAAATTAACCATTAATATTGTTAACGTTCAACACTTAATCATATGGGATAATTAAGTGGGTTGTACGAGTAGAGCTGTACGGAAATTTTCAAGAGTACAGATAAATAATATATCATTAATATATGTCAAACATTTTATTTTAAATTTATTCAATATTAAAATGAGCTCTTTGTTATAGTTTGATGGTAACATTATTTTCGTTGATGATTATTGTTTATCATAAGGACATTGCTGAAGGTTATAGTTATGAATTTCCTCAGTTTGAAGTCAATAAATCACCATTTTGATTCATGCCTTACTCATCTCCTGTAGGTCTTCAAGAGATCTAACCTACTGTTTTTACCACTATAACCTTCCCCAACAGCACATTATTCCCAATCGGAAGACCTTCTCTGAGAACTGGCGGACTCGCAGGCGAGACAGCCCGGTTTGGTTGTCCTCGGGACTGACTTCGGCCTACATTTCTGCAGCAGCTTCCTCGGCCTCCCAGTGGCTGCTGGCTATCCCATTCCCTTCGGTTTCTGCTGCCTCCAGAACTCACCTCGGTTGCCAAGGTAGTCCAGCACCTCTCGGGCGTACAGCTCCATCTCGTTCAAGGCGAAACCTTCTTTAAGGTTGATAATATCTGTCAAAAATTAAATCGTAAAGAAAAAAAAATTGAAAAGGTTTACTCAATATAAAAGTTTCATTGCGATGTTCGATGTACCTGATTTTTCCTTCAGAACCCTTTCAAGGTACTCTTTATCTTCTTGAAGATGACCGAGAATATTACTTTTGGGCTTTACTTTCTTAGCTTCCGCTGCTTTCACGACATCGTCGACGGTATTCAAACCTTTCAGCAGCTTTCCAAGGCTCTCGGGGGTTCCTTCGAATGCACGACTGTTACCTGATAAGAAAATAAAACTATGAAATCAGAAAACCTCTTGGCATATATGTTAAAATTTCATTTCAAGACCTGGTAATGGTTGAATGACATTAGATTTCAATTCTGAACAAAGAACAATATACTAGGTAAAGTTAAAACTTAGAAAAGAAAGATGGTCGCTGGAAAATTTATTCTAATTTGGAATTGAATAAAAAGTAAATAACTTCTCGGAAAAATAAAATATGACATTTGAAGTGATCAAATAAAAAAAAATTCTATTGTAAGCAATTTTTTTTAATTGAATGTTTGAAACACACAACTAACATTTACATAGTAAGTAAGTCAAGTCAGTTTTAAAATCTGAGTCTCATAAGGTAGTTAGAATGATAATTGAATAAGTAGGTTTACTTTTTCTCATTAAATTTTGCTTTCTAGAAAGAGAATGTTTTGTAAATATACTTTACTTTGAAAACTGAAGAAAGTCAATAGTCATTTTATTGGAAATAAAACACACTCTGATTTAAATGTTTGTTCACAAGCCACAACGGTGTCTATTTATCTCTCTTTTCTAAGTCCGCTGGTGTCCCACAAGTTTGTATCCACGATTTCTTCCTCTGGTTTATACAGCTGACATTTAAACTCGGATTTAAATGTCAGATTGAAATACCATTTATAACTCCAAAATTACCATATATCCTAATGACACATGTGTATTATCAGTTATTTGGAGCATTTATTGATTCCCAAAGTCTTCAGTACACATCAAAAACCTTGAAGATTGGTGTCGGAATTGGAAGATTAACCTGTAACTTACTTATCAATGACCTATGACTAGTTGTAAACCTATGACCCGTACATCATTTAATAATACTCACTTATCCCTGTTGAACAGATATGTTACTTAGGACTCAATTTGAAAAACGCCTTACTTTGAGTCCTTTTCCAACCTTTCCAATAGTCCATGGAGCCAGGGCCCAAAAATCGACCTCATCGCAGGCGGAGGTTCGATTGTAAATTTACGGAAGTGTATGTTATTATTAGGCCAGTAATTTGAAGATCAAAACGGGAAATCCATAATGAAAAATGTGAGAAAAGTTTTTATTTTTTTAACTTGTATATATGGGTTTAGATATGTAAAAACAAAAATAATAGCATGGGCCACCAATGAAAAACTTTTGCCTTGCCAAGGGAAAACTACAGTCAAAAAAGTCAGATTTATTCGACTTTTTTTTTCACCTATTACTTCTAAACGATGCATCACAGCGAATCATGTCCTGTTAATAAATTAAACAACGTTAAATTGTGTGTCGAATGAGTAAATAAACTTTATAATTTGTTTATGTGGTAAGGTATAAAACCACGGTCAACCCACGCTGATTTTTTACCAAATTTGTCAAAAACTGAGAAAAAAATACTGTAAATGGCCCTGTAACTTGGAAATGAGTCTCCCAATCCTCCTTTCTCCCTCTCAACAGCGAAGGATTTTGATGAATGATGTGTCGAAAGATGCCTAATTTCATAAAGGAATAACGAATCCCGATTCGAGATATATACTTGGCCTACAATAAAAATGTCAGTAGTCATTGGACGCAAAAATTGATGCTCTACAACTTTTATTCTATGGGGTTTTCCTCTTAGCAGACTCATTTCCAAGTTACTGGACCATTTATAGCAATTTTTCTCAGTTTTTGACAAATTTGATAAAAATCAGCGTGCTTTGACGGTGGTTATAACGTACACTTTCGTAATTTACTATCAAACCTTCGCCTACCATGAGGTCGATTTTTAGGCCTTGCCTCCTACAGGGCTACCTACAACTTCATCACTAACTAGATAAACGCTCTGAACTTCTAATAAACTAAAAGGCTCATTTACTTGGCTATAACAAGACCTATTTGGACTCATGGAGTTGAGCTTTGGGATTCACTAAACCATCAAATTCCTCTCGCATTCAATGTTTATAATCCAAAATCCTCAATGCTCCCTACTTGCTTGTCTCAATTAAAATTATCTATAATGACCTTAATGTTCCATATGTTCTAACGACTTGACCCATTCCAGATACCTATCCTTCCATAATAAACTTCAGGCCCATCCAAACCCACTTATTTCTAAGCTTATATTCACTTCGATTCCTGCCAATCCTCCTAAGCGCCTCAGAACTCATACCTCAGGGCCTTCTAATATAGAACTATTATTGGAGTGCTACCAGTTAGTTTCTCGTCAAGTCTGTTCATGTCATTAATTAATACATTTGTGAATTTCAATCAATATATATGTATATATATATATATATATATATATATATATATATATATATATATATATATATATATATATGAATAAAACCAAGCTTGTGTTTTATTCTAAAATGTTGTATGTTTTATGTTTTTTATTTCAGGAACTCAGTAATATGTTGTAGTACTTCTTTCCTATAAGTGCTTCAACTTTTACAGAGAACTTATTTTATTTTACGTGTAGGTCCTGGGTAAGAGGTAAAGCAAAAAAAGGAGGAGGGGAGAGGGGTTGTTTGAAGAATCCTAAAGCGCTTTATGCTTTTGTTTGATATATTCGCCCACATTCAAGTGATGAAGCTTTTATGATTCTTAAGGCTTTTCAGAATATCTATATCCTTTATACTTCTTCACTTATTTTATTGTTGGATATTTTTATTCTCTTTTTATATAAGACTTAAATACTAATAATGAAGACGGATTATTCTCTTTTAATATTTTTATATTTTATCAATGTTGAGGAAAATATTATTGAGTTGTATTCATCTAAATGGGATTGCTAGACGCATCACATTTTTATAAATATAAATGTTTAACCGAGTAATCAGTGTTATCCTAAAATGTATGATTTTGTTCTCACTCAGTTCAGTAGTGAGAGTAAGAGAGACGAATATCAAATCACTCAATCCAATTATTTATAATAATACATCCGTCGTTAAATGGTTTAACAGGTGTTTTTTTACATGGAATGAGTATAAAAGACAAATAAAAAAAGTTCAGTTGTTTTTATGTTTTGTTGAGGCGCAAACGTAATTTCTGATCGCTTCATATCACTAAATTAAACATGAAAATAAAATAAAATAAAATCAAAACATGCTACATTCTTACTTCCAATTATATTCTTAATGGCCTCCGTAGCTTTGGCAACGCCAAGTCTGAATCCTGACATATCAGGACGCAGTTTCAAACCTCTGTGAAAATATACAAGAGCCTCTTCGAATTTGCCCAAGTGGTAGAGAGATTCTGCTTTTTGTAATAAAGCTATAACATAAATATAAAATTAATAAATAATGTGTCGAGATAATTTAATCAGATCTATTCATTCTATGTTATGGTTCTATTGTAAATAAAACTACGGTTAAGAAAATGTTATTTAACAGTTAAGAATCGGTTAAGAAAATGAACTATTAATTGACACATAAATGAATTAATATTGTGAAGCTTGCCCTGCTATTTACCTCAACAATATCCAAATTCCTCAAATAGGCAAAGTTCATTATCTTGGGTTGACATGGGGCCAACTTATCAAAAACAAAACAAAAACTCTAAACCTAAGACTACGACTATTGTCCTCACTCCTTGCAAGATGAACACAGTACAATATATTTCATAATAACTTACACGGACTTACTAACTCATTGATTCGAGGCATGGCCACAACTAACATGCCCGATAGCACCCGAAGGAGGCTTAAAAGAAGCTGGATGAGAGATCTCCACTAACTATAAATAATACATTCAAGACAGGAAGGACGCCGCTGGGCACTCCTCTCCCTCACGCCTATTCTATGACCTATTAACCTTCTACATTTTGACATCACATTCGCTGATTGTTGAAACTTCTGCCAGGTGTGAGTTGAAAAATTAAGTTAATAAAAAAAAATCTTTGGTTATGATGTAAAAAAGTTTATATTTCCAATAATCTCTTAATTATTATCGTTTTTTACTAGACAATTATTAATTTAGGATAGACATCCGAAAATTATATCCTGGTTAGAATGTAAGGGCCTTTTTATGTATGTTTATTGGTATATTCCATTGTTTACGCTACTCATTTCATTACAACTTCATTTAACCTATTTTGGCTTCCTCACTACCGAAGGTAGGGAAGCATTGTGTTCGTGGGAGAGATTAAAAAAAATATTTTGCTCAGAATCGAAATTTTTCACTCGCATTTTACGTTTCAGTCATCAAGGATCAAATTTGGTTCGGTGTCTGTCTGTTTGTCTGTAGTCAAATCGATGTGACAGGCATATCACCTAGTACCGTTCATCCAATCTTCCTGAAATTTTCAGGGATTATGCTGATTGATGCCTAGATGGTCCCATATCAATTTTATTAAATTCCATCCAGCACTTCCGCTTACGCACGCTCAAACGTATATTTTTTAATATGCCAATATTTCAGAAAGGGCTCGTTCGATTTGGCTCAAAGTTAGATAAAAGGTAGGCTTTGGTGAAAAAATAATGTAGTGTCAATTTTATTGAATTCTATCCACCACTTTCTCTTATATATGCACTACTATACCGCCGTCCGCCGTCCGCGCATTTGTTCTGAAACTACTGGACCTATTTTTTTCAGATTCGGATATAAAATCAGAGGTCACCCGGGGATGACCCTCCTATAACGACATTACTATTCGCCTTCTAGTTTCAAAATGGCGGCCGAAAAACCTGCGTTGCTATAGGCTGTAGCGCCTAAACGAATGTACCGATTTTAATGAAACTTCGGTAAAGTCATTTTCTCTACACCCTATAAATTTATCTATATAACATACTTCATCGAAAAAACAGTTACAAGGGATGGTAAAATTAAATTCCGAATAATTGATTGACCATATTCCAATATTGTATATGGTTTTTAAAAAGTTTACGGAATTTCCTAAAAAACAAAAAAAAATCGTTAAAATCGGACAATTAGGAGCAAAGATGTGGTCTCTAGTTTTTTTTAGATGTGCTATTGCAAAGGTTTATATTTTGTTTTGATTTTTGAATGTGTTACTGAAGTAATGCTATTTTTTTAGCATATACTAATGATTAAAAAAAAGTTTAGTCCAATTATTGGAATCATCTTTTATTTATTTTTCTTTATAACTAGGAATTTAATGTTACTTTATATGTATAATTGTTTGGAAATAATATACCATTGCGAAATAATTTGCAGTGGATTTTTTTCAAATTAATTATCGTTATATATATATATATATATATATATATATATATAAATCTTTCGGGCTGAAGCCTCTCTCCAAAAATTAAATCTGGATCCGGTTGTGTATATCACTATTATTAGCGCAAATGTTGTATTTAAAAATTTTTAACTTTAATTCTATGTGTATTAAAGGTGACATTTTGTAGTCTACAACTGATATAAGTAGTCTGCTACTATGGAAAATACCAGATGACAATAAAATATGAAATTATTCTAATAAAGCATAAAGAAATAATGAGTTTTTATGCACTCTTGTAAAACAATAAATACATTTTTACATAAGACCTTTTGCACTAACAGTATTGAAATTCATGTTCAGTATGCATTTTTTTTTTTTTTTTTTATTAAGCATAATCAAGTATGGAATCTTCAAATACGACACTCTTTTGTTGAATGTTGAAGGGTAACTGTAATCGGCTATTCCGATTCTGCTTCTCTCAGAGATTTTATTCCCATTCGAAAAATTGTATACCTTGTAATATACAACGGAAACGGTGAGGAAGCTATACAGACCTTACTTGGCAGAGGTTTTTTTAATTCGCCTTACTTTAGTAATTCATAAAATCATTTTTATTTATTATATATTTATTCAGCTGTTAATAGTAGTTATATTATCAGAAGTTAGTTTAAATTTTCTCGTATCTCATATCTCACTGCTAATCTCTCTTTTATTTTTTCTCCTTTATTTTTTAGCGCAATTGTTTGCTCGCCACCTCGAAGAAACATTTAAACCTCATAATGACATAAATGACATACTCTCTACAACAATTGTTCAAAGTCACCTTAACGTACTCTTACCTATGACATTACCACCGAAATCAATTCATCCTTACGAAGTTCAAAATTTAATTAAGAGCTTAACTATGAATAAAGCTCCGGGATTTGACTTAATTACGAATTTCGTCATAAAAAATTTACCTTGGAAAGCAATTCTTTTTCAAACCAGTAAATACAATTCTTTTTTGAGAATCACACATTTCCCCACCCTCTGGAAATATTCTGAAGTTGTCATGGTCTTAAAACCAAATAAATCCCGAGAATGTTCAAATTCCTATCGTCCGATCAGCCTTCTTCCTTCCTTTTTTAAATTATTTGAAAAAATTATTCTTCGTCACCTTGATTCGTTCGATATATTTAAATTTATCCCAAATCATCAATTCGGCTTCAGAAAGCATCATTCAACTGTTCAACAATGTCATCGGTTGGTAGATTACATTTCTAATTCTTTAGAATCCAAAAATTATTGCCCTGGAGTTTTTTTTGACATTAGTCAAGCCTTCAATAAAGTTTGGGATGAAGGATTGCTCTCCAATCTTAAAATTTTACTTCCTCCGACCTACTATCTAATATTACTTTCATATCTAACGGATAGACATTTTGTAGTAAAAGTAGTGACAGAACGGTCTGACACTAAACCTATTAAAGCAGGAGTACCTCAGGGTAGTGCTCTTGGACCAATATTATTTAATATATATATGTCTGACCTACCGGAACACAATGACACAATACTGCCCACTTTTGCAGACGATACCGCAATCCTAAGCTCAGATAAAAACCCTGTTCGAGCATCTACCACCTTTCAAAATCATATGAACGATATTGCAGATTGTACCACAAGGTGGAAAATTAAGATGAATGAAAAAAAAAGTGTGCATGTGGTATTCACTCTTAACCATAAACCTTCACCTGAAATATATTTTAATAACATTAAAATTCCAACACCAGACGTAATTAGGGATTTGGGTTTTTACCTGGACTAAAGACTTACTTGGAGGACTCACATCAGACAAAAACGAATAGAATTAAACAGACGATACGGTCTTTTATCAAGATTACTTGATAGACGTTCAAAATTATCTTTAACTAACAAACTAGCCCTTTATAAAGTTTTACTTAAGCCTATTTGGACTTACGGCATAGAACTGTGGGGTTCTGCTAAAACTGCCAACATTAAAAAAGTTCAGTCCTTTCAGTCAAAAGTTTTGCGAAGGATAGTTGATGCACCGTTTTATGTCACAAATAATACACTACATAAAGACTTAAACATACCTACAATTTTAGATACTGCAAAAGAGAAATACAATAACTTTCACCAAAGACTGAAGTACAACATGAATCCCCTGACAGAAATTCTTCATCGCACAGGAAACCCGTACAGCCCACAACGACGAGGCGTTGGCCTGCTAATCTGATTTATATCCCGGACGTCATGGGAAGCTGTGAAGCTGTTAAAAAATTTACTCATTGCAAAGAAATATGCAGATTGCAAATTTAATCAAATGTTCTACATTTTTGTTTCGTTAATAAATAAATAAATAAAAATAAATCTTCTATCGTTCTATACTTTTACTGTTTTTTTATTACTATTCTATTTAGGTTTACACCAGACAAAAAAACTAATATATTATTATTATTGATAACAATACACATAAGATTAAATACACTCATTTCAACATCCGAGCTTGTCGGGTTCCAAATCTACCAGCTCAAACATAGGCATGGTGTAGGAGCGTACCTAAGACAACCTCGCTGTGATTTCCGCATCCATATTATTTGTCATCTATTGGTAATAGTTTTTATTGATCTATGTCCGTTGTCATCGCCACAGCGTTAATTTATTTTATTTTTGCAGTTAAAAACGCCACAGCGTTAATTCAAATCATTTTACACTTAACTAGTTTGATTAATTGTTGATTTGTTTTATTTTAGCAAAGTGAAATCAATTAATAATATGTATAAGATATGTGTATCTTAAGTACTATAGGCACATAGCTTATATTGTTTATATTAAATAAATCAATAGTTTATACTTGGACTACTTTGTTATGGAATGCAGTAGCACTAGCTATAAACAAGTGCTAGGTTCAAGTCATAAGGCGGTAGAATTGACAATAGACAGTCTGACTCCGTCCGTCACTGAGCTGAGTACTGCCAACTTCACTTCCCACTACAGTTTTACTGTGAAGAGACGTACTTCTCTCGTCGTACTCGCCGCTGCCCATTTGCAGTTCGTTTTGAGCACGCTCATTGAAGAGTTACAATTGGTTTCTGCATAGAGACAGAGGTTTACGAACGTCCTGCTTCGTCCACGTAACGTTGCACAATCTAATTATTTGTTATATACATATATATATATATATATATATATATATATATATATATATATATATATATATATATATATAAATTTCATATTGGGACTCTAGAGAAGTTGTTTTTTGGTATTTTATTGTATTGTAATCTGGGCTATAGAAATAGTTTATTTCTTTTATGATAAAGCATGAAAACATTTCATTAATATTGTCACAATTGTTTGTTCAGCTGGTCTTTATTTTATGCTAGAAGTTTGTTTTTTTGTTTTTTGTTTTTTAGTTATCTAACAAGTGTGAAATTGATTAATTTTGTTGTTATGTTTTCAATGTTGGATTTTGTAAATGTTCCAAAATAAATGTTTGAAGATACAGTCTACTTTCATTCTTTTTTTTTCTTATTATTATTATTAAATCACAATTAAATAGTTAAGCTTCATTCGAAGTTTGACATAAACTAAGAGGGAGCTAACAGCCGTGTTAGTTAAATGTTGTCCCTTTACCTTTGATGTAGTTAGGATCGACTGCGAGAGCCGCTTCGGTATCCTTCAGTGCCAACTCTGGCTCACCAAGGAGGAGGTAGCATTTGCTTCTAGCCACCAATGCCGACTTATCTTCTGGGTTCAAATCAATTGCCTAAATAACAGGTGTAGTGTCAAGGAATAATTCAATACATATTCTTATAAAGCATAGTTTGAACTGTAAATTAAATAAAATTCAATTCGAGAATCTGTTACATGGCTTTTACTGGTGACGTATTACACCAAAATAAGTATTATCTTTTTTGTGCATCTTTTGATATAATTATCATGGATACTGGTAGAACCTTAGTGATGCAACCGAAAGCTAGATCGTATCGGCGGGCCCGAACTTCGAACCCAGCCTGCGCCAACAGATTTCCCGGTTTCGTCTCTTCAGGGATCTGCAGAGCCTTGCTTCGTTCTTCCTTCTTCTTCATCTTTAGGGACTGCTTGATATCTCTGAAACAGTTGGTAATTTGAAAGTTAATAGATGCAACACTTTTTCGGAAAAAAAATATTAACATAATTTATTGTTGCATAATAATGTCAAAACGCATAAAGGATTTATACTGCTTGCTGTTTAACTTGGTATTGGAGTGTGCTATAAAGAAATCCAAATGTGGAGTTCAAGTTGGAGGAACCATTCTCAACCGATCTGCCAAATCTTGGTTTTTGCTCATGGACATTGATATCAATGGCAGAACTTACACATTCATCTAGGACATATTTATCTACAGATAGCCGCGGAGAGGCTGCGGCTGCTAGTGAACCAATTTAAAACAAAATATAAAAAAATTGATACCATACATTTGAGAGTGTTTCTGAATTTACATCCTTATAGGAGATCAGGGAGAAGCTCCTGGAAGAAATGATCCATGCCAAGAGAAGAGTGGAATGACCTAGGATGAAGTGGGAAGATGGAGTGGAGCTAGGGATGCTATGAGCCTATCTTAGGTTTCCGCAACAGTAAAACTTCATAGAGATGAATGGTGGAAGAAATTACAGGAGGGCTCTGCATGAGTTTTAGTGCCATGGATGGATGGATAATAATGTAAGAAAATCATTTTTATCCTTTAAAAACTTCTTAATTTGTCTTCGTTTTTAATAAACCAGACACCGTTTCAGGCTTATCTGCCCATCTTCAAGTCCGTCTACAAATTTTTATTAGACATTCGGTATTTAATTTTATCTATTCAATAAATAGGTTCAGATAAGATTGTATGAAGGTATATAATTATATTTAACATTATTCGTATAAGTGTTATGGAGTTATTATTGTTAAGAAAATGAATCTTACGACGGATAAACAGACATCACTAAAAAAAAAATTGTTCGATGCAGTACTTGTATTTAGTTTACACATGAAAAAAAAAATTAAATAATAAAAAACGTATAATTATAATAAAATAATATATGTTATTAATCTATGTATTTTGGTCTTTTCTTAAATTTAGTTTCATATTTATAGAGTGAATTAATAGACACTCAGGTTTTGGGATCAACAGGTTTTTTTTTTATATGTAACTAAAACTCTAAAAATAAATGTTGTGCAGTTTTAAACTAAGAAATGGCAAATTTAATCAAAATTTCAAATTTATCTCCTTCAGAAAAGTGATGATAAAACCTCCCTGAAACAAACCCCACTTTGCTAAAAAAAAAAAAAAAACCCTGGATATCTTCCCGACAAGATAATAATACGAATAAGCTGTTAGTAACGTGTACTATTACATGAAAACTACTTTATAATAGAGACTTAAAACTATTTAAATCACAATGAAACTAAAATATTTATTAGATTACTTTATATTATACATGAGCCAATGATTTTTCCCCTAGCCCCAATAGTTGTACAGTTCACCACTTTTTGAACTCTTTTGCCCCATCAACTAGTAAGATTTTTATTATCATTTTCTTGTCTCTTGAAATAGTATATGTTTTAGCTGGTACTTCTCAAATCAAGGAAGGGGAAAAGACAAGTCAAAACAGTCTTCCGTAAATGTGATTCTTTTGGCACTGTGGTCTCTACAAGATCACCGAAAGATGTAGATTTCCAGTATTTAGGTATATATATATACAAAATTTTCCAAAAATGAAAAAAAAATTATGCAAAAATTATTAACATTTACTCATGTAAATGTGATTATTTCTGCACACATTTTTGTCTCTACCAGATCACTGAAAGATGTAGATTTCCAGTATTTAGGTATATATTGACAAAATGTTCACAAATCAAAAAAAAATCATGCAAAAATTACTAACATTTACTCATGTACAAAAAGAAGGAAATAATGTATTATAATTTTATAAATATTTATTGACTGCAATTAATAAAAGCGTTCTATACTTAAAGAATAAAATTTCAAACATCTTAGATGGTTATTAGGAAGAAACTCATGCATCCCGACCACAATTTCAAAGAAAGAATAGTAAATGAAGCGTTTAATTCTACATTTGTTGTAAATCTCCAAGTTTCCATACAAAGAAAGGCCTTTATCTACTTTTTTCTAAGAGAGAGTGTTTGCGCTTGTGCAGTTTATCACTAAAATGAAAGGAAAATGAGTTATTATCTATGGATATAGAACTTCAGGATACTCGGGCATTTAAACGACAGATTCGTTCCGAACAGTAAGATTATTCCTATATGAAGAAAAAACCTCATTTCTACTACATTGCAGAAAGCATAAGATGAGGTAGTTGAAGCCACTTACAAAGAATTCAAAAAGAAACCAAGAGCGAACAAAAAAGGTTCACCCCATCATTTTGCAGATAGAGGTAAAAGAGGACGACTGAAGAAAAGTTGATTACAAGATTTGCATGAAGAAATGTCTGTCACATATCTTCTAGAAGAAGATTAGGAAAACCTAAAAAAAAATTATAGGCCCTTCGGGAAACCATGGCTGACCATCTCAGGATAAAAGGGATAATTAGATGGGAGTAAAAATGAATTAAATTTTATTTGAAAAAACATTTATTTTTTTATTTTTTAATTGCACCATGTGGAGAGAAAATATAATCATATTTGATGCTAAAATTTCAATTAATAAATAAGAATGTGCTTTATGATGTTTTTATATTTTGTATCAATATTTGATAATTTCTCTTTTGTTTTTATTATTGATATATTGATATATATGGTACGAATGTGATATACATAGCTCGAATATTTATTACTCTTAGCATGGCAATTTTTTTTATTTCTTAATATAAATAATATCGCAATATACGGTTTCGTTCACTTACTCATATATGAAATATTCGGTAAGACAAAATAATTATGATCGTGAAAAAATTTAATTCCAAATCTCCAAGTTCCCTCGAGTTAAAATAACCAAGTCTTCCAATAAGTCCTTTTCATATATGCCTAGTGTGTGACGTTAGCCGACCCATGCACTTTCTATAAGGTTCTTTTTTGAGTCGTTCTGTTCAAACGATCTGTGATTATCATTTTCTGTAAGTTTTACTATTACCAGCACTTGATACCTACTCTGATATAAAAAAATTAATATAAAAAAAAAATATTAAATATAACTGGCAGATGGTATTAAGGAACTTAATTAACTAGAATCTTACTAGGAATAGAGTTTATTGGAGTTGTAACAATAAAATTCGTGAAGAGACTGAACTAATACAATTATTAAGTTTATTAATTAAATAACTTCAAAGAACATAAACTATATAAAAGTTTATAATTTAATTAATTAAGTTTACTCGACATTACATATTATGTTCTACTTTCCTTCCTTGTGAATGAACGCCTTCCTTCAATCGTAGCCTAGTTTTAACAGAACAATAGCATTCTGAAACGTTTTTCGTCTACTTTCTCCGACAAACCGTGTTACCATTTCTATTTCCTCTGTACATAATTCCTGTTCCGACTCTAATAACAATTTATGATTAATATACTGTCTTAACGGGTAATTCATTAAGTCATCGGTAAGAAAATATGCGTAACTATTTCATAGTAGACAGATTAATTTCGGGATGAAAATTCATTGAAGTAAATGTACAGGTAATTGACACTTCAAGAGAATTTTGCAACATTAATGTGATACAAAACTTATGTTGGATCTTTGTAAATGTGTTTAATTGACTGCAAATTTAGTGTTTCAACAATTTCTTTTTTTCTATACAGTCAATTACTTTATTATTCATGAAAAACTTAGGAAGTTCTGACAACTTATTTCGTCCCAGAAATAAACACTCAGGTTTCGGTTCAGCATATTATTTTTTGTATGATTAAAAAAGCCCAAAATAAATTCTCCAGTTTAAACGAAAAAATGTTATTTTAGACGTATAAAGCTTTTTATATGTTAATAAATTTTTACTGTCTTTTACTGGTACAGATCTATTATTGGTAAATTTATCCTAAATTTTATCATATAGGTAAACAAATATTTTTCATTTTAGAATGGAGTTTTTATCCTATTCTTTTAAATTATTATATGTCATGTTTTTAAACTAGAAATGCAGTCTCTTTTATTATTTTTAATATTTTTACAAGCTTAAGTATTTCGAAGCTGTATTTTGTAAATTCATTTTCATAACTATGAAAAATAAAAAAAAGATAAAACAAAACAAAATATATGATAATAAGCCGGAAATTCCATCCAAATAACAGGATAGAAATAGAAGGAAAATCATTCCCGAGAGTAGAAAAATTCAAATACCTGGAGTCCACAATAACCTCAATGAATAACCAATGGACAGAAATAAACCTGCGTATTACTACCACGAACAGAGCTTTCTTCTCCCTCTCATAGGTATTCAAATCCCGAAAAATCTCGAAAGAGAAGTTAGTTGGGGTGTTCAGTCAAAGAAAGAATAAAGTAAAAATAAATTATTTTTATTTCCTTCTTGTCGACGTTTCGACCTAAGTTTCAGAGATTCATCAAGACTGTTCTCATGAATGATACCGTAAGACAGGTAATTATACTTTTTCATTTAATGGGCTTTTAAGACAGGTAACGGGAAATAAAATACACGCTTTCTGTTACTTACAAAAAAATGTAAATGAAGTGCAGAGTCTTTAAAAATTATTTTCTATTCTTGACACCGTGGAACCTTAACAGTATATATTTGAAGCACCTAAACCACATCAGCTGATGGTGGAAAAGCTCTGGAAAAAAAACTTTTTTTTTTATTATTACATTTATTTTTGTCTATTTCATATATGTGTTGTAAAATTAAAAAAATACACCACAGAAAGGGATTTTTTGTACTTTTTTGTAAAGGTAGATCTTTTGATTTTTTCTATTCAGCTGACTAAACACTAATCGGGCGAGTTTTAATCGATTATGTGGGCCGATTGAATTTCTTTTGACTATTTAAAACGTGAAGAAGGTTCTTGAGCTTTAGGTTCCACGTGGAATGACTAATTTTATCTCAAATAAATTAAATTAGAAATAAAATAGCCGACAATGTAAACATATTTTAAACAATTAAATCTCCACGATTTAGATTTTATTTAAAATATTTTTTGTTTATTTTTAAACTCATAACTGCCAGGAATCAGCACACAACCCGTGAGTGTGTTGTCGGGAAGAAGAATATGGAGTAAGATGGTAGGTGTGAGGAATAGGAGTTCCCCACGACGTCCCTGAAATTTATAGATATTGGAGGAGATCCCTCATCCACCTTCTTTTGAGCCTCCTAAGTTATATGGAGCATGTTAACTGCCACCATACGATATGAGTTTACGTCCGTATAAGTCATGGTTAATTCTTTTTCAATATGTTTGTAAGTGATTGTTAACTGTTAGCATTTGAAGGTCTTTATATAAAGTAATGTGGGTGAGGTATCATGGAATTTTAATTACAGTTCTCGGGTGCTTTTCTGGACATAGCTCAAGCTTTCGACCGGGTATGGCACGCCGGGCTTCTTTCCAAGCTGAAAACCTATCTACCTCAGTCCTTGTACCTAATCCTCCGCTCCTACCTCACTGATCGTACCTTTCGGGTTCGCTGTGGTTCAGAATTTTCCGACTCCTACCCAGTTGAAGCCGGTGTTCCTCAAGGTAGCGTCTTGGGCCCCGTCCTTTATATCCTTTTTACCGCCGATATCTCTGTCCATCCCAATACCTTCCTGGCAACATTTGCTGATGACACCGCTATCCTATCATCCAACTCAGATCCCGAAATAGCATCTTTAAATCTGCAAAGGCACCTCTCCATGATTGAGCACTGGTGTAATAAATGGCGCATCAAAGTAAACGAATCCAAATCCGAACGCATTACCTTCACACTCCGCCGAAGATCCTGTCCATCAGTCCACCCACATACTAGACTTAAAAGACAAGAACTTAACCGACGATATGGCCAATTATACAGACTACTGACCAGAAAATCTCAACTTTCAAATGACAACAAATTACTGATCTACAAGACAATCCTGAAACCTATTTGGACATACGGACTTGAACTTTGGGGGACAGCAAAATTCTCTAACATTAAACGCATCCAATCCTTTCAATCCAAAGTCCTCCGAACAATAGTCGATGCTCCGTTCTATGTAACCAACAAAACCCTACATCATGACCTTAATATTCCATTTGTCCTTGACCTTATCCCTGAAAAATTTTCAAAATTCCATCAGAACCTTATAAATCATCCAAATCCGCTAGCCCAATCCCTATCCTCCTCCACTCATCCCTACAACCCTCCTCGAAGGTTGAAGCGGCAGTGGCCCAGAGATCTTTTATAGTATTTATTTTGGAGCTCTGGCAATGGCCAGATTCTCCACTCAAGACATGAATGTATGTGGCTAAAGCGCTCTCGCTCAAACTCCACCGGCTTTAGCACCAGTGAGGCGGTTGAGAGAGTAGCGCAGAGATTTGGGTTCCCCGCCTGATTGTATATATTGTTTATAGATATGACTGTATTTTTATGTTTTTAATTTACTTATATATGGGTTATTTTATTTTTTTATTGCATATAGTTTTTATTTAGTTATTATTTTACTTTTGTTAATTTTTTTTTGTATATACGGTGTGAATGTGTTCATTTATCAATATAATTATTGTCCCCGTGACAGAATATTATATGTCTAAATAAATAAATAAATGATTTAGATGAATTACAGTTCTGAAAGTTTTTGACTAAAAAATTACATTTTTATAAATATACTTTGGATGAACTCATATGTACCAGTCTCCTTCATTTTTATATATTTATACATTAAGGGTATAATTTTATGCAATTAAAAAAGTTCAGATTAAAAAAAACATCTAGTACACAAATCGACTCTGAGTTCTTTAGTTGAAACCATCAACTCCAAGGCAGGCAAAAAGTTGTTCACCCTGGAACCTTGAGTAAGTTAAATGAAGAAGCTAGCGCAGAGCTGTGTGTGAAGGAATGTTGCTCGGTTCTTCTTCCAGCCGGAGAGAGACGGATTTTAAAATTAATGAAATTCATCCGCTTCATTCCAGCAATGTTGTATATACTGCATTGCAAGCTATTTCATTATTTTTTCATTACTTGTAAATATAGTCTTATAACATTTGAAACCTGTTTGAGATTGTAACCAACCCACATCTGATAAAGAAAATGTTGGAAGAAGATGTTAATAAATGTATTTTTAAAAATTATTTTTTGTTTGATTAAAAGTGAAAAACATATATAAAAAATAAAAACTCTCATAAGTAGTCCAAAAACGTATTCATTATGTTTTTAGTTTTTGTTATAAAAATAAAGAAAAGTTACTGATCAATATGGCGTGATCAATACAGTGCATAATTATTCTACATATTCATGACGCAGCTTCATAAACAAGGATAAAAATAGTTGTCATACCTAATTAGTAGTTAGGTAGTAAACTAGCTTTACTGCTTAGTAGTTGTTAGTTCTAATTAGTAATTAGTTTATTATTATATTATATAGTTTATTAAAAGTTAATTTTTTTTTTTTAACTGAGGCGTATTGGTGACAGTTGTTAATTTTAAACGTACCAGTCTACTTGGTTATGCTATCAGTTGGTTTAGCGCGTATTAGTAGTGATTCATTATGTAACAAATCCAGGGGTATATCCGGAGGTTTTTTTGGTGGTTCAGGGTGACCAGAGAGATTAGAAGAAATATTATCTATTTTATTGCAGAAATTATAAAAAATCGATAAACTAACAATTTCATATCTCTATGAGGCGGAGTAGCAAGGTAATGAATCAATTTCATTGATATATGGACAGGACACAGGCGGACCTACGGAGGGGGGAGGCTTTGGGCTGAAGCCTCTCTCTTCCCCCCAAAATGCTAAAATGTAACCATGCTTATGCTAAAAAATTATCTCTTAAAGTATTATTGTTCGGTTAATTACATTTAAAAGGACTTAAGGAATCACTTAAACACCATTTCGTATAGGTAGTTAGTTTCTTTCTGTTTTTCCAAAGTAATTATCGTAATTTTTATGAAAAAAAAGTTTCCGGGCTGAAGCCCCCCCAAAATTAAATCCTGGATCCGCTAGTGTGTTACAGGGTGTCCTATAGTGTTGTCCAAATCGGTCATGGTCTTGCACTTTACAAGACTAATACCAAGACCGCCTAACCGTTGCAAGACTAAGACCAAAATTATTTTTAAAAAACATTTTCTGAATAAAAAGTAAAAGATTCGTCTTGGTCTCGTATTTGGCCAACATTAGTGTCCAAACTGAAGATATGAATTAAGGATCTCAAAAGGCTTTGTTCAGAAGATTTTTATTTTTATGTATTATTTAGTAATAAATAAATTAAGATATGTTCCAGCTACTTAATTAATGAAATGTAAACATCAACGTTTTTATTAAATGTTGCTTAATGTGATTTTCTTAAGTATTAAGGCAGTCATCAACTTCCACAGCAGAATCGTATGAACGGTACACAATTCGTGTTTTAGTTTCGTAAGTTTCAATTACTCTTCTTCGTATATAATTAAGATCATTGATGGAGATTGCACAGACTTTTTGTTTAATGCCACCATTAATCCTTATAGAGTCAATATTTTATGCACAGTTAATGAAACAAGTTCATGTTAGTATTCTATCTTATTTATTTAATATCTCCTTAAAAAAGCGTTTGTATCTTTAAAGATCCTTAATCCATATTTTTACTTAGGACAGCGCCCTGAAACACCCAGTAAAACGATATATTCCTCATAATGTAAGAGAAGCAGAGCAAATCGGCCAACAAGTAAATTAAGACAAAAAAAAAAGTTATGACAATAAGCCGAAAATTCTACTCCAATAACAGGATCTACCTAGAAGGAAATTCATTCCCAAGAGTAAAAAAATTCCAATACCTCGGCTCCATAATAACTTCAATGAGTGACCAACGGTCGGAAATAGGCCAGCGAATAACAAGTGCAAACAGAATTTTCTTCTCCCATTCTAAGATCTGTTGAAATTCCGAAATATATGTCTGTGCGATCTGGACACTAGCCGGCGCCTTAGAAAAAAGTACTGAAAGATTTGAGAGAATATTCCTCCGCACGATAATCGGAGCGATCTGGAATCAGAGTACAAACACGTGAAGAAGAAAGATCAATAAAGAGCTTTTTACAGAAATTGGTCAATCAATATCACATTCATATAAAGGCAAAGAGGTTAAGATGGTCGCAGCATTTAGCTCGGACCAATCTATCTGGAAGCCTCTATATGACAACGAATGTCTCAATCGTATGCAAAATACCATGGTGAAGGCCATAAGGGAGATGGATAAATCGAAACAACAAAGATGCAATTTTGTTCCAAGCAGATAAGTGGAAAGAAATATCCCAAGAAAGGCAAAGATGGTAAAGACATGTTAAAGCGGCAAAAGATCTATTAGATTTGTAACGCTAATGGCACATTGCCGGGCAACCAGAAACTTCCGTCTAGCGGAGTCATGAATGTCCCATCAAGTTAAACATTTTATATTATAATTTATATCGGAAACCTCAAGTCGTAAGCTTGAGTTCTCTTGACGTAAACTTTCGAGTTCAGAATGATCCTAAAGCCTCTGCTTGATGACGCAAAGACCCGTGAACAAATGAGCCTCGTGCCCACACCATTATCGCTCTGACATGCCTAAGATTGTTCCATAATCGCCCGCCAGGTCCTGAGGCCTTAACCAGCTCCTTGTTTGTCGGCTTTTGTCATGGTTAAGCCTCTATTCACTGGCCTCGAGCGTAGAAAATATTAGGGAAAAACAGATTACATTTTTTTAATAAAGTCTGCTAGTACAATAAATATATATAAGACGGGGCTGACCTTGAACCCATGTTGACCGCGGCTGCCCGATCCTTGTCCGTGTAGAGCTCCTCTTGTTTCCTCCGTCGCGGGCGTTTCTTCAGCTTGAGCTCCTTCGTCAGGGACCATGCCTGCTTCCCGTGCTCGTACCTCGACTGATGGGGGAACGTATAAATAGACAAGATTAATACCAAAATTATAAGATGAAATATAACAGAGATGTTACGTATTTTACGTATTTATACAACTAGTATTACCTATTATAAAGCTCTTAAATGTGTTAAAGTCGAGAAACTTACTTAAGATTAGTGTGTTAAATGTAACCACTAGCATACTCGATTTTAGCACAGGGTTTATTAACGTTGATGCTAACTTCGTTAATGTGAAGGGGAGATTATTTTAAGGTATTCATCTTCCGTTTACTACTTTTAATTATTCGTTCTGAAGGGGGGAGACTTTTTGATTATTATTTAATCGTTATTTTGCTTCTGTTTATTTTATATTTGTATCAATATATATATATATTTACGCTTTTATTATGATACTTACAACTGTATTAGTATGAATACATCAAGTAAATGTGTACATAGGAATATTATCACATGAAACACGCTTGTTGAGAAACTACCCATTGGTAGCACTCTAATAATTTGTCTACATGAGGAGATCACGAGGCCATCTTCTTTTCAGACGCCTCGGAGGGTTATCAGGAATCGAAGAGGAAGCAAGGTTAGAAACAAAAGGATTCGGATGGTTATGAAGTTTATTATGGAAGGATAGGTATCTGGATTTGGCCAAATCGGAAACAAATGGAACATTGAGGGTATCAATATAAAGTGTGAAAGTGTTCTTATCTTACTATAATTATTGTTCAATTGACAGAATGTTATATTATTCAATAAATAAATTTTAAAAAGAACTTTTAATTAAAATGGAATATAAGCAAAGATGCAGAAGAAATCTTGAGAACGTGGTGCAAGAGGAAATAATAATCTGTTATTACGGAAAACAATATGAAATTCGAAGAGAATAATTTATTTCTTTTCGAATTTCTTTAGAAGCTCCATGCTGTTCCACTTAATGTATTTAATAATGCAAAAAAAATTTAACTTTCTATAACTTATAACTCTTTAGTAAGAAAGGCTGCATGAGGGTCGTTCACTCAAGATTTTAACTATTTACCATCATAATACATTTAATCATTTACCATAAGTTACCTGAATACCTATATTGTCAGCTTTTATATACGTATATAATAAACACACATATGTATATAATACATACATATATATTTATATACATGTGTGATATAAATAAGATCTGAATGAGTCGTTTATTTCCTAAGTGAATGAATTCTAACCATCTGTTGGGGCCAGGGGTACTTCAAAATTGAAGTGGACCTGTAAAAAGGTGAAAAATGCATGCACATCAAAATATTAAAAAATAAAAATATTTCAATGCTTAAAAATGTAAAACAAAAAATACCCTTTTAAATGCTTACAAATTTATTGAGATAAAAGAAAAAAAAAAACAAATGAGAAGAAAAAAGATTATTCAAATGCAGTGAAATAAAATAAAACATAAATACAATATTTAGTGAAAAATAAAAAAAATTGTCCATCAAAAACAAAACATAAATAATAATAATAATTCGATGTTACTATATTCGTTGGGAAGCTGAATTATTTCTCTTCAAAGCCGTATGAGTTTTTTATTTTTATTTAATGCTTACATTAAACAAATAAACAAAAACTCCTTAAAGATTTTTATTTTTTATCTCCATTTATTTACGAATGTACGTTTGTTGATGTCATTTTGTGTAGTTTATGTGGCTTCAAATACCTCCTGATAGATTTCTTGTAAATAGCAAAAGTCGTATTGAAGTTATAACATTTATTGTGATTTTCGAAAATAAAATCATGTGAGGGACCCAAATATTAAGCCTGGAAAAATACCCGAGCTTGTGCAAATGGTTTTCTCCGCTTGTGTGCGAAACATTTAGGGTCATAGCAATCTCTCACACTGGGGGGGATTTTGATCAGCAATGGCTTTAAAATTGCTCGTCTCGATTTCATGTGGGCGACCAGACCGTTGAGCCTCATTGATGTCAAAATGTACTGAATGAAATTTGGCAAACCAATTTTGACAGGCGCGTTCGGTTAAGGCATCATTCCCATAAACACTGCACATTTTTCTATAAGCTTCTGCATCACGCTTACCTTTTTTAAAATAATACAACAAAATATACCGATAATGAATGATATTTTCATCCATATTCACAGAGCAATAGTGAACACAATGCTAACCTAGTTTCAACAGGAATTAACAGATATAATTGTTGACATATTAGAAACAGGATAAACAATCCACCTTAGGAATTAATTAATCAGATAAAAGGTGGATAGTGACATAGAAATAAACAGAAAGGACTTATTCGCCAACCCAATACATTAAACATCTATATTAAATGTAAGAAAGAACGAATCAAGAGGATATATTTTTAAACCTGAAAGAATTATTGTTCCTGTAATTACATTTCATTACACATTTGTTTTTTAGTATAGTTTCAAGGACTAGACTAAACACCATTTTGTAATTATTTTCGCTTTTTTTCATCTAAAATAATCACCATTTTGAAAGAAACGTCCTCCAAATTGCAATGTCTAAATCCCCTGGTGATTTGTAGCACATGTTTCCTAAAATCTTTGATAATTTAATTGAAGAAACACTGAAACTGAAATAAGGGCGGTTTTGGAAAGATTAAAACTTTAATGGACGTTTTGGGACAAGGTCGATTAGGGTTCTGTTAGGAGAGAAAAAAATAGTAACAACCTTATAAATTTTGGATAATAAAATAATTTTTTACTATTGTTGCTCATAGAGAAATAATGATACAATGTTTAGGCGAAATGATACTTTAATACATTTCGTCAGATAACATCACATGTCAACTATGTCGGTAAGGGGGAGATTCGAATCTCGTCCCCCCCCTCACCTTTCTCCCTATATCCCATTATAAGTGAAAAATACATCTAGTTCTGTCAGTGGCAGCAAATTCTGTAAGCAGCTATCGACGGATGGATAAACCAACACACCACTCTCTTCACTGCCTTAGAACGTTCGTTACTTTTGTTGTGTAAAGCATCATGCTAAGATATCCATCAATAATGTTTTATATTAATACAAAAAAGTAGAATTACTTCAAATGACTTTCTGCTCTCATGGTGAAAAATATTCTTTATTAAAGTTTTGACAATTAAATTAATAACAATATCCTCACTGCTCCTTACTTTGTCTCAAATAAAATCATCCAGATCGACCTTAATAAAGAATATATATTCTTGAAGAAAATTTAATTATTACAAACTTTCTTCTTCATGACTTAATCGTATAAATAAATAGTCAAGAGTTAGCTCATCTAATACAGTAAAAACCATGAGGTAAATTTTTTTTAGTACATTAGCGATAGTTGTGCACGGATATCTCGGAAACTAAGCGAGATAGCTAAAAATAGTATATAATCAATCGTATTGTATTTTTTTAAGCTTCAATTTTGTATAGAACGTCTTTGTCAATTCGATGAATAGTTTTCCTAATATAAATATCTCTCGACTCAACAAATAATTTTTCCAATTTGGTCCAACAAACTTCAGAACCATCCGAACCTTCTCGTTTCAAACCTTGCTTCCTCCTCGATCCCTGACAGCTCTCTGAGGAGTCTGAAAAGAAATTGGCCTCATGATCTTCTTACGTAAATTTATTGTTATGGTGCTTGTTTCTCAACAAGCGTTTTCGTGTTATTATATTCCTAAGTACACATTTACTAGATGAATTTTTATTTTTAGACAGTTTTAAATATCATGAATAAATACAAATTATTAACAAACAATACAAATCGAAAGCAGAATTTGCATAACAAATTTTTCCATTTTTATGTACCCTTCCAATGTAGGAACTTTTAATCAGGTTATTAGTCATATTATTTAAACAATAACTAAATTATCCTTTGTAATGGCTCGCTTCGCTTCTTGGAGGAAAACTCTATGACTTGAAAACAAGATTTCCGAATAATTATATTAGTTAAGTAACTCAATATCTTCTTCTTTTAGTTCGTCTATATTGGGCATCGAGCCGCTTCGTGCGTCATAGCCAAGTTTCTTGGCCTCTTCTTGCTATTCCGCCAGACCATTTGCTGTCCTTTAATAAAACTATCTGTTCTTCTATCATTATGGTTGTTATTGTACGTTTACACGTTTTGCGTATCTTGTACATTAGAACTACGAATATGACTGAAGTTGTCCCCTTGTTCCACCTCCTTGTTCAGAATTAATCTGACGGTTTGTCATTTGTCTCTCCATAGATTTTATTCTCTCTAGTTTACTAGTAAGTACTTTACTAGTAGAGCATCACATATTTCATTTCTTGGCAACGAGTCAAATGCCGTTTCAAGTCTCGAAAACCATATAAGTGCTCTCTTATTTCTTTTTAAAAATGTTCTCATGACTAAGATGCGGTTTTAAGTATGTTTCCCATGAAGAAACTTCAATGTTCCACTCGTTATAAAATGAAATTAATTTAGGAAACAGCATCGATATATCCGCGAATAAGAAAACATTTCCTTGGAACCTATAGAATTATAATGAAGTTATTAAACCAGGTGTTTAATTTTTTTTTATTTATTTCATCTTCGCCTCTGCCCTAATGGTTCAATGGCGTTTTACTATTGTTCCCCTTTTATTTCTTGGTATGGACTGATAATTTCCAAAAAAATTATTTGATCAATAAAAAAATATATATATGTTTTTTAAAACTCACTATTATTTTGGGTATGACACTATCATAAAATTACTTATTTTATACATCGTGTAACAAAATTGATCTCCTTTTTATTAAGTGTTAATGAACTATCTGATTTCCAGGAAACGCTATGTATAGGACCATTTAGGGAATCATGAAACATATCTTAGCTACTACTTTATAATTTATGGAATATTTATATTTATTTAAGTTCTAGTGAATAAAATACTAATTATAGTTCACCAATAATTAGTGTATTAAAAAGTCGTAAGCGAGAACGTTTTGACTGGTTTTACTAGACTACTAGACTTTAGATTACGGATAACAGTTTAATTCCCAGGCACTGAATAACAATTGT